GACCATCTTAGGTAGTTTCCCTAAACCATAAAAAACTTTCCTTGCCTAAACACGAAAGATTAAGTGTAGGTCCCAGGAGGGGGCCCCATCATGACCCAATAAATGGTGGGAAGCGAAATATTCCCGATCACACGCAGGTCGTAGAGATCATAACACACCCAGTACACTACTGTTATCTGTCTGGGAGAAATGGGCACCTCATCTCTCCCATCACCTCCGGGTTTTCCTTTCAGCTGAGCTACAAGGCCTCGCCAGCCTGAGAGGACGAGGCTGTCCATCAGAGACTTCGTAGTGAAAACTGAGCTCTCCCTTTCACCTTCCTCTGTCGCTGCCACCAGCTGCTGTCTCTTCCAACTTTCCTATTTCGATATTCCCAGTCACTCTTTGCAAAGTCACAGTCAAAGTCAGGGAGAAAGGAAGTAGAACAGCAGACTGGTGACAGACAGCATTTAAAGTATCCAACTAACTGAGACTTCTGTTTAATCCATAAGATCTTTAGAAAGCTACGCCTCGTTACCCCTGGCGGCTCCGCTCGCTTAAATCAGAACCCGCTTCAGGGGCTGAAACCTTAAAACACCTCTGAAGTGACTCAAAATGATCACTCCTGTTTTAATATTCCTTCTACTCAAGGTTGGATCAATAATCATATCTGAAAGCTGTCTGGAGCCAGAATAATTTCATCTGTAAATGAACTCACGACGTTATCATTGCAAACCTTTTGGCTTTGAAAGCTGATTGTAGGGTTCAGAAAAAAATCAATCCACTTTAGTGTCAGGTGCTCTTCCAGGTTGTGCTTCAACGGACAGTATTGTGTGTGTGTGTGTGTGTGTGTGTGTGTGTGTGTGTGTGTGTGTGTGTGTGTGTGTGTGTGGGTGTGGGTGTGTGTGTGTGTGTGTGTGTGTGTGTGGGTGTGGGTGTGTCAGGGTGAAAGTGCACATGTAATCTGCAGTTCAAATGGTTTTGATTCTTGCTGCCAACAGCAGATTCCTAAAACTGGAAGAATCTGAAGGAGCATGCAGAGGAAATCCCTGTGGAGTTCAGAGGGGAAGGGCGGATTCTTACCATTTCCTCCACAGTCGATACAATAGACCGACTTAAAGAGCAAGTCACCCCCTACCAGATTCTTACTCCACTCCCACATCCTGTTTGAGAAATGCAGAAAATGCTGTTGCCTAGCAGACCGAGAGGGCAGAGCCGCTAACAAATACACACACACAGGCTCACAATGACATTGTGACATCATATGGTACCAGCTAACGTTCCAGGGTACCTCTTAGCCAACAGCGATGGCAGATTTAAATTCAAATGCAGTGCAGAGTTTTTACCTGACGACGGCACAACACTGACAGTTTCAGGCAGAAAATTTAAATTTTAACTAAAATGCACTAAAGTGCTAAACTATTGACTACACGTGTCTGCAGCATGATTAGACACACATTTATATAGTTTATCAGAAAATTCAAAGCAGATTTGGGGGTGACTTGCTCTTTAACAATTCTCCAAAAGTAATTTTTTTTTTTTTTTATATTTTACAAAAGTAAAAACCTGATTCAACTCTTTCTTCTGTCATTATGCTAAACAGCTGTAAATATAATCATGTTTTGGTATTCAGAGCCCCGTCCTATAGGTAATCTGCACATCATGTTCATTCCAGAGAAAATCTCAAGGTTTCATCTGACAGAAAACAGGAAGGAGGGACAGTGGACTCCTCCTCGAAGGACACACATAAGATTTCCGCAACTTTTACACCTTAAAATAACGTATTTTTGAAAGGTTTTAGAGTTGTGGTAGTGTTGTGGGGTCCCACGTCTGTTTACAGCATTATACAGTTTTGACCGGCGGTCCTCTAACTAAGTACTGGCAGCATGTTGTTTTACAGCAGAATCACGTAGATACCGTAGACATGAATATGTAGATGCCCCACCGGGCGCTGGAGAGCGTAACAGCATCACGGCCATATTGGATGGGCCTCCTCACTGTAGACATGAATTTGTAGACGCCCCACTGGGCGCTGGAGAGCGTAACAGCGTCACCGCCATATTGGATGAGCCTCCTCACTGTAGACATGAATTTGTAGACGCCCCACTGGGCGCTGGAGAGCGTAACAGCGTCACCGCCATATTGGATGGGTCTCCTCCCTCTCCAAAGTCAATGCAGAGAAACTACGCCCATTTTTGTACAACAACTAGCCTGCTATTGAAAACAGATCACATGGGATTACTATTGACTTTTCTAGCCTATCTGATTAAATTTATCTTTATCTTTGTTTATTTTGTTAACTTATATTAATAGTTTTATTATCATGCCATACATTGTGTCTGATTTAGTGAAAAAGCTTGATAAAATGTGTTTTTTAGTTGGGTAAACACCTTCCTCGGTAGAAATGAATGCAATGGGGGTAAATGGAGACTCATCTAAGATGGCGGCTGGCCACCACGGCAACTGCAGTAAGCAGCGTCAGTCCACGGGGCGTCTACGTACATATGTCTGTGGTAGACCTGCAGATTGGAGACTTGAGCAATGGCAGATCCACCAAAGAAAGCTAGAAATCCCTCACCAGAGGAATCTAGGAAAAGAAAAAGAAAACGCGATAGAGCAAAGACCTGAGTTAACACTGGGCCGGCGTTTCCTCGCTGGAGAGCTCTTCTTGAAAGAAGAGCACGAACTACGGATTCTGACCTAGCCGTGTTGCTAATGGATAGCTAAGTAATATCTGATTTCACAGGGGTTATTGTGTTTGGTCAGGCATAAAGCTATACAACTGATAAAACTTAAACCAATGCTGAAATGCGGCTTCATGCGTTTGTTTGGGGGCGCGAGTTGGAAAACAGTCAGTAAACGTGCCTCGTTATTTTACGACAGTGACGTTATGCAGCAAGCCTGGAAAGGGCGACAGAGAGCACATTTCTGCAAAGTGCAGGAGTGTGTCTTTAAGTGTAAAAAATAAACAATTCCCATCTTCCCTGTAGCAAACAGTGGCCTGAATGGCCTCTGTTCAGAGAAATGGCTTAGACCAGTGGTTCCCAAACTTATTTAGCCGCGCACCCCCTTCTATGTCCCGACCATGTCAACGCACCCCCCAGCCCCCACATCAGGGCATGGCTATATATATATATATATATATATATATATATATATATATATATATATATATATATATATATATATCAGACGTCAAGCTAAACAGTCACTCGACAGACAGGGTTAAAAAAATATGATCGACCTTTTTCTTCATCACTTTCATTTTTTAAATAGTAATTAATTAACATTCGATACCATTACAATTTCCTTTGATGTAATTTTAAATAAACATTTAGAGTGCCCAGGTAGCACATAAACAATGCAATTTAACGGTTTTCTTAAACGTTTAACCTGTGCGGCCAGAGCGCTCTCCTTCCTTCTGCTCTGCGTAAACCTGAGCTGGTCACCTACTTGTGCATAATCAAATGTTTATAGGGGACAAGATGGAAAAGCCATGATGTTCACTTTAGCCTCAGACCGACTTATTGCTGTTTTATGGTGAGGCTGAATCTGCGATCCGCTGCCACGCGGACTGGAACAACAAATGCTGCAGTAACATGAGTTGTAGTCAGGTTCATGAGGAGTCACTGGCTGGAGCGGACCCGACTTTAATACGTCATCCCAAAATAGAAGCTAATATCTTCATTTGACCTGGAATGAAAAATGTTGTTATACAACCTCTTAAAAGTTTTTATCACAGAGGAGGCAGCGCTCATCTCTGTCTTCAGTCTGACGACGCAGCGAGTATGCTTATTGAATCTGTGTGTGTGTGTGTGTGTGCGGCACAGCTCCATGAGCGGCTCCAGTCACCGCGTCTCCTTATCGGCGCTATTTAAACCAATGTTGTAAAATTACTTCTGCCCAGCCCAGATGTGCTCACTTGTGCACCTGTGAGCCGTGGTTCCGCTGGAACGTGTCTGACCTCTGACAGACGCACTCTGAACTTCAGATCTTCAGCGCGCTGTCAATAGCCTGACACGTTTAGAATGCTGTCCCACAGTCAGTGTGCTAATATAATAATATAATAATGCTAAAATGCTCAGATGGGAATCACTTCTTGATTTATTTAGTTACACCCACAATGTTCTGTGTGTGAGGTTTACAACGTCAGAACACCTGCATGAGACAGGTGTTAATTACAATCTGCCAGAATGACTCACCACCTTCAGATTCCTCCAACACCGTTAAAAATGATCAAATACGGAACATATCTTGCTGTTGACAGCGTGCGCCAGGCCAGAGCGCTGAAGCTCGGAGCGCATTATTATTGTGAAGCACGGGGAACATGCGGAGGACACACACACACACACACACACACACACACACACACACACACACACACACACACACACACACACACACACACACAAGCTAAATATACTTGTTTTCAATTGCATTTATTGGGCCCACCCACAAATGAGTTTCTGGCTACGCTAATGGTGACATATGACAGACTTCTCTGAGCTCCGCAGCCATTACACTTTTCACCTCGCGCACCCCCTAGCGGCAGCTCGCGCACCCCCAGGGGAGCGCGCACCACACTTTGGGAATCCCTGGCTAGACCCTTTAAGACTGATAAGCTACAGGCTAGTCTGTAGTTTGTTGCTTTTAAAACGGGTCTAGTCAATCAATCAATCAATCAAATTTTATTTCTAAAGCGCTTTTCAAACAAAGTGTGATTTAAAGTGCTTTACAAAATGACCCAGTCTACTGAAGTTCTGACTTATGAATCTTATTTTGGCACTAATTTGAAAGATTTGCTGCTGGACTCGAGCCCTGGACGTTCTAGAAGGGCTTCATTAAGCTGCTGCTGACATTTACAATGAAAACAAAAGAGAGATGTAGTGAGAAATGAACATGTAAATGTTACTAAATCACATGAAGGCTGTGAAGTTCACCAGGTTTTAGTACGGATCAGTGTAGCGGTTAGCGGAAATAGCTAACGTACTTCTATATGTAATGAGTTGTTGTAATCTCACCTTTCCTGCTGCAGAAGCTCCCTGTTCCACAGAGAAGCTGCAGGAAAAGATAAAAAAGAACAAATTAATCAAAGAGAAACAAACAAAGACACATTAACCGACTGACTCGTGCAAAAGGTGAAATTAGTTTCTGTCTTAATGAGGTCGACGAGACTAAAATACTCAACACCATTTAAACATCATGACCATGTGAAGTTAAATCTCAGAAGATTTTCTCTAACTATTATCTGTTAAATACATTTCATGTTCAAATGTGATGATTTTGTTTGAAGGTGATCATTTTTCTATTAAGATCATTGTTTATAATGTGGTCAGCTGTATTTTACAATAACGTGAAAACATTTTGTTCCAAATGCATGTGCCACGATGTTACGTGGCAAAAACTATTACCTCATAATGTCCTTTTTTTTTAAGACTGACAGCAATTTGCTTCCATACCTCATGTATGAATGCTAAAAATGTTAATTTGCTACTATAATTATTGGCAGCAGTAGCTCAGGAGGTAGAGCAGGTTGTTCAGTAGGCAGAAGGTTGTAGGTTCAATCCCAGCTCCCGACAGAGAATTCTGCTGTTGCGTCCTTGGGCAAGACACTTCACCCACCTTGCCTGCTGGTGGTGGTCAGAGGTACCGGTGGCGCCTGTGAGGGCAGCCCATCCCCTGCCATGGTTATTTTTAGTATTATAGATGATTTAAAAACACCAGAACGTTTGTTGGTGAGATGTCTCGATGAGGCAGGTTTGTAACTTTTTAAATTCAGAATAGATTTCAAGATCCTTCTTCTCACACATAAAGCTCTTAATAATCTAGCTCCATCATACATCAGTGATCTGATTGTTCCATATGTTCCTAACCGAGCACTTCGCTCTCAGACTGCAGGTCTACTGGTGGTTCCCAGAATATCTAAAAATAGGATGGGAGGCAGATCTTTTAGTTATCAGGCTCCTCTCCTGTGGAACCAGCTCCCAGCTTTAGTCCGTGAGGCAGACACCTTGTCTACTTTTAAGAATAGGCTTAAAACATTTTTATTTGATAGGGCTTATGGTTAAAATCTGATGTTAGCCTAAATCTGGACAAGTGGGGGAGTAGAGGGAGGTGGAGTGTACAGTCGGTAAAGACGGCTCTCCCTTGACCTGCCTCCAACATGCCTCCATCTAAATAGGATAGATTATCCAGAGTTTTCTCTGTAGTTATGCTGCTATAGGCTTAGACTGCTGGAGGATACACTGACCACTTTTCACACTCTACTGCTTTCTTCTACAGTCTGCTCTTTAACTGTATTATTTCCTGCTATTTCAGCTGTTAACTTTATTTTCTCTCTAAGTGTTTTTCTCCCCAGAAGAAGCTACAACGATGTTCTGCTGAGCTGTGGTGGCCTCATGGAGGGGGCCATCGTCTAGCACACTGCTGCTAACCACTTAAACATTCTCCCTCTCCTGATAATAACGTTTTGCTTTCCTTGACGTTGGATGTGCTACTACTAGTTTATCCGTTTAATTATAGATTCACTAGGATAAATCAAGCCCCCACAATGCGGCTCAAAAATGGAGACCAACCCGGAAGTACCAAAAATTGCAGTTCCACCCTCATCCACTGGGGGCTGGTGTCAGAAGCGAGCAAATCCTCATTGACTCCCATGTTAAAAATATCAATTTCACAGCAGAAATAAACATGTTTACAGCCTGGTACCAGAACATGTTTTTGGTTTAAATGATCTAGTTTACACTCATGACAACTCTGAGAGGGTGAATGTTTTTCTCACTCTTCTGTTTAAGTGTATTAAAAACCTAAAATTCTGTATAATTAATGAGCATCAGACCCACGTGACCACAGAGCTAGCTCCGGGGAAAGGCCTCAGTAGAGCCTCGGTCTGGCCTGGAAACTGCTCCGGGATTTTGAGTCTCTGTGTGTGTGTATTCTGTTTTGGATATTATTTGTGCAATTGTTGGACAAAATGACTTGCTGTGGCATTAATTGCACTAATAGAGCGTCCAAGGAGTCTCCACTTCATTTTTTTTCGGTAAGTAAAATGATATTTATGTATTTTAGGTCACTGCCGAGCTGAGCTTAGATTTTAACATGTACTGTTTAACCATGACATTTAAATGTAATAGGGTAAAACCCAGTGCATTTAACATAATGCTGCACTTTAGAAAATGGGTTGAAATATAACATGTTGGTGGAGCTGGGTTCCCACTATCGGCTTGTGGAGATCTCGGGAGGCCGATGTTTTCCACCCGGTTTTACCCAGCGGTCAGCCCGGCGTATCTCTGACTCAGAAGCTCTGGTGTTGTGCACAGTTAACTCCGGTTGTAGCTAGGTAGCTACCTCCATTAGCTTAGCTCCCACCTCCGCGTTAGCTTTGGGTTAGCTTCAGGTTAGCTTGTAGCTAGTTCGACCGGGTGTCGTCAGTTGATTCCAGCCTTACAGCCCCACCCTCAGCTCCACCTCTCTTCCCTTTTGTGGAATTGTCTGGGCTGGACGGAACCTGTGACACGGTCAAAATGGTGGCCACCTCCCATTTTAGTACAAAAACGCATTATTGGAGGCTATGGAAACCCATTGTCCAATATTTATATGTCGATGGGATAAATACAATAAAGTTTATCTCTCACCAAATAGAATATTTACTAAGCAATCACAATGTTACCATAGAACACTACTTGGTATACAAGTTGTGTGTGTAACACTACTTGGTATACAAGTTGTGTGTGTGTGTGTGTGTGTGTGTGTGTGTGTGTGTGTGTGTGTGTGTGTGTGTGTGTGTGTGTGTGCGCTCTGTCCCTAAATCCCCAGGGAGTCATGGCGAATGGCTGCTTATACTGAGCCAGGATCCTCTGTGTGAAGTGCCTTGAGACGAGACTTGTTGTGATTTGGCGCTATATAAATGCACTTGAATTGAATTGGGGAAGGTACTAATCCTGATGCTCCATCTGGATGCTTTTAGGATTGAATTTGAGACGATATTCTAGCACGAGTTAAATTATGATCAGAAATCACTGAAATCAGCCAAAAAAAATAAATTTCATTTCTAGCAACTCATCTGTTTTTTTCTTTTTGTTGCTTCAAAGGATTTTTAAAAAACATCACCAAACCTCTCAGCAGAGTTTTTTCTGAAGAACGATGTGTTAATAAATGAAGATGTAACACCCGGGAGTAAATCTATAACACCTTTCAGGCTTGTTTCGGGGATCAGAGAGAAGTCTTGATTTGTTGTGCTAAAGTGTTTCATGCCACTGAGCTCATGAGAACATGTATTCACCGCTTATACACGTTCATTTAGTTGTCAGCTAATTTGTTCCACACGAGGAGCAGACGGGTCTTTTTTTCGCCAAGTGGGGCAACGTTGACAAAATGTTGCTTAAAGCATTTGTTGGTATTAAAAACAATCAGGAGCAGCAGAGATTAGTAATTTGTAGTGATGCATCCAATCAGTGGGATTCAGCCTCAGTGTGTGTGTGTGTGTGTGTGTGTGTGTGTGTGTGTGTGTGTGTGTGTGTGTGTTGCGATCACTGGAGCTTATTCACAGATTCTGCAGCCTGAAGTTGTTTTGATTTGATTTACAGGGCTCTGACTGTAACTCCGAGCTGAAACTGGAGAGGGAGCGGTCTTTGTACATTCTGAGGCTTCTCCTCATCCTGCTCTGAGCAGCAGAACATATTGTACATGTTTCACACCCGCAGCTGGAAAGTCTTCCCACATCCTGGATGTTTGTCCTGGACACCACTTCCCTCGTGCTCCTGCCTGCTGCTCTGCTGCGCATGCACACACAGCAGCTTCATCTTCTACTCTGGCAGCATTAGACTGATCACACGGGGCCAGAGGTGGAGCGGTAAATCACCATGCATCATGTCTGAGTGGACAAACCCAGTTGATGCTCATCACACGACATTACGTTTAGTGATTAAACACTTATGGAAGAACTGGAAAACCTTTTTTATCATTTTTATTTTTGTGCAATGATTAAGATATTAACCCTCAGGCTTCACTTTAATTTTCATACAAAAGAGTCATTAGAGGACAAAAATGTCCACTTGTAAAAGTAGCTATAAAAATGTGTACAATCATATTTTTTCTGGCTTTTTTCCCTAGATCTGTTGAACAACTTCAGCCCTGCACAAACATAAAAAAATGCAATCATTTTGAGGCATTTAACTCTTGAAATGCCAGTTTGAATACTCAGTCATTGCTATAATTTATGAACAAAACACAAAAACTGAGTTATTTTCTAAAAGAAGACTTTTTTTGTCTCGAGTGTTTAGTACAAACCAGTCTTGATTATGTTATGAAATATCTAAAATTTAGAATTTTTTGCATTTATAGTTTTTACATAGCAACAGATTTAAAATTTACTCTACACTCGAGCCATTAGAGGACAAAAACGTCCACTTTTAAAACCGCTTTAAAAACTGTCCAGATTAATATTTTCTTCTGCTTTTTGGGTGTAAATCTTGTGTTCAACATCAGTTCTGATAAAAATAAAATAAAATATTGATTATTTATCTACATTTTAACCCTTTATATGCCAGTTCGATTGTGTGATGCTCATTTTTCATGAAAAAAGCAGACAAACGAGGAGATGTTTTACATAAAACATATTTGGAGTGACTGAAATAATTTGTTTTAAATCAGCCTTGGATATGTCAAGAGTCTGGCAAAATATCACATTTTATGCTTTTTTAGTTTTTGTGTAGCAGCAGATTTAAAATGTACCACCCTCGTGTGCCTGTTATGGACAAAACGTCCCACTGACTTCAATGTAAACCACAGTTTTTGATCCTGTGTCATCTGCATCAAATAATCATGCTTTCTGTGATGTTATGGTTTCAGTTTGGACAAAAGTAGTCCAATTTATGATTTTTCATTTCTCCTCCATCTCTAATGTTTCTTCATATGTTGCCCAGGTGAGAACGTTTACACATTTCTTTAGACCAAAAATGCCCCTAATGAAGCCTGAGGGTTAAGCATGCTTACATCACTTGAATACAATTATAATGTGGTTTATGACTTCAGCGCAGACTGGGGCGGTGTGTTGTGGT